CTAATACATGTATAGAATAAACTTTGAAGCTGTTCCACATGATGGAGGGTTCCTCATTTTAAGAAGTTCATTCAAACATAGAAGTTGATTGTATTTGTTTATTTAATACTTTCACAGCTGTAATTACAATTTCTTCTAACACTTCTACTTTTATGGGGTAAAGGTTATGACGTAATGGTGTGATATCTATTTCGTATTGGCCAAATTTGTTTGGACATCCTTATAGATGCTCATAAAGAGAGGCAGTAAAATGTTTCCTCTACGAGTAATGCTATTCATCCCCAGTGGTGCTTAGCACCAGTTTAGGTGACAATTACATGGCATTAAATGATAGATTTATTTAAATCCAAAGTCATATGACTCATTTAATTAAACTAATAAAGTATAAACACATAGCCTGGTGCTAGAGCACCAGTGGGGATGAATAGCATTATTCGTTATATTTAAATAATATTTTTCAAGTGTTATATAGGTATGAAACTAGAAATGCTCAACTGATCATCTGTGATAATGTTAGAAATTTTTTTCAAAGGATCCTATTATAAATAACAATGTCTTATGACCCATACGTTTGGGTTGGCTACATATTATTTCCTCACTACTCCATTAGATTTATTGCTTCATTTGTGAGAAGAACTAAAGAAACAAAACTGGACCATGTTAGTTTTAATCTAGACTTCTTCAATGGTGAGAGTATCATGACTATATAGTATCGTGTCTCTAAAAAATATGTATGAGGTGGGCAATGAACAAAACAAAATCAATCTCAAGTCTTCTTCATCATATTTGACCTCCAAGGTCTCTAAATCGGCGACAATTTCCTTAAAAGAAGCTAGGTGATCCTCAAGATATGTACCTTCTAGCATACGATGAGAACATAGATGTTGCTTCAGATGTAATTTGCTAGTAAGACTCTTTTCATACATAAGTGCTCTAATTTTAACCATAATGAAATGGCTGACTTCTCCTTCAAAATGTCCTTAAGAGTATTATTGAAAGACCAAGATCTATTTGAGATAATTCATTTCAATCCCTCGTTGTTTCTCCTCCAGAATCCAAGTTGTAGTCATCTTGTCAAATCCCAACAACACATTGTTCAAATCCATGTGAGCAAGTACGGCTCGCATCTTTATCTGCCACAAAGAAAATCTTGTATTGCGATCCAACAGCGGAATAACATACTTCATTGTTGTCATCACCAAAAACCTCGATCTTCCCAAGAATTTCAAAACCAAAAATTTCGATAGCAATTTGTTGTAAACTGGAATTCTCTAAGACTAGATTGTTGTGAAAAGCAGATGATACCAAATTAATCAAATATCAAATTGTTGGAGAAAATAAGATATTACAGCCATAATATGAAGTAAAGATCACAAGAATACAACAATGTAATTTTGCAGCGGATGGAAATTTTATTATAATATGGAGAAAAAATACAAAGCTTATGTATTTACAATATTTCTAGCTTCTTATTAAATCATAATGAAGAGTCAACTATATAAAAATAACAAATAGAAGACGTCTGAACCCTTATAATAGAGTTGCAGTTGAAGTAGAATGCAAGAAACGGAATTCAAAACGGAGTAGGGAAAGAAAATCATGCTAAACAGCATTGCATCGCCTAGGCACCCGTCTCCATCCCAATTATCTTCCGAGGATGTTTTTCTTCAAGTCCAATATAAATTTCAACTCCCAATAGGCTTCCAAATAGAATTTCAACTAGAAATTGCCAAATAGATTTCGAATAGGATTCCAAAAACATTTTAAATAGAATTCTTCTTAATGTGCACTTTAATTAGAACTCTCAATTATTTTCAGCAAAGAATTCGAGTCACACCCAAATTCTAAGAGGTAAGCTAGCGCCATTAATCCATTTTTCCTCCATGGACCCTATTTAGACGTCTTCAAAGCCCAAGACACAAAACAACGTAATTTGGGTCACAAACCGAACATGCCTCTATTATGGAACTCTTATAGCATCTCTCTGAGATCTGTTTCAGAGTTGAGCATCCCGATATAACTCATTAGCACAAGGCACTGCACCTATTTTGGGGCTTGCCTTTTATGACTTGCTGCTCTCAAAAGTTCACACAACACCTACATATCAATTGGTAATTGGTCTAGATTCATAATGTATGTATTATTTCAAATGTTTTTCTCTTGCAGTCAACTAATTACCATATTTGGAAAATGGTGAAGGTTGATTATTTTATATAGTATAAAGTAGTTATTTGATAGGGGTCAAATACTAATGCACTGTTACACTTTTGTTGTCATTAGTCCTGTATTTTTGATGTACTAAACTCTAGCTTAAGTTAAATTTTACAAGCTAAGTAAGGTAAGGTGCTATAGTAATATAGCAGCTGTCAAATGTGTCAAGTGGTAGTAGGTAAGAATAGTGATTGGTTAGACGCTTTTGTGAAGTAAAAGGAAAATGCCTTCTATATATGTTGCGACTGGTTTTACTCATGGTTTGAATGAATGAAAATTGATATTTTCTCCATCCCTTTGATCTCATATAACAACAGTGGTATCAGAGCTTAAAAATTTGATCTTAGAAAGGTTGGAAAAAGTCTGAAAATCAGAGCAAAAAATAGAGTGTTCTGTGCAAAACCAGTAAGCAAGTAGCAAATCCAGTAAGCAAGAAGCAAATCCAGTAAAGAACCTGCAGAACCGGTATCTTTGAGCAAATCCGGTAAGTTCTTTGCAAATTCGGTAAGCTTTGCTCTTCATTTTTTTCCTTTCATTTTGAGCAAATTCTTGAGGAAAAAACGAGTAAGGAACTTTCACTAGCCAAACGTGTGAGTGAGTGAGAGTGATGGCTTCCAGTGGTTTCACAGTGCCTTTGCTCTCAGTATTTACAGAGAAAACTATGACTTTTGGTCTGCGAAGATGAAAGCATATTTGAAGGCATACGACCTCTGGGAGATCACATAAACTGGGGCTGAACCTCCACCATTGAGAGCAAATCCCACCATTGCACAACTGAAACAACATAGTGAAGAAATAGCTAAGAAGTTCAAGGCTCTTTCTTGTATCCAATCAGCTGTCTCAGATGATGTCTTCACTAGTGTTATAACCTTTGAAATAGCAAAGAAAGCTTGGGATAGATTAAAGGAGGAATTTCAAGGCAATGAGAGAACTAGGCAAATGCAGATCTTGAATGTAAGAAGAAAGTTTGAAACTCTAAAAATGAATGATTTAAAATCTGTTAAGGAGTTCTCTTATAGGTTGATGAAGGTGGTGAATCAAATCAGGTTGTTAATGATGATTTGCCAGATAAACGAGTTGTGCAAAAGGTCCTTATCAGCCTACCTGAAAAGTTTGAAGCTAAGATCTCCACTCTTGAAGATTCTAGGGATTTGTTTGTTATCTCATTGTCTGAACTAGTTAATGCTCTGCAAGCCACAGAGCAAAGGAGAGCAATAAGGCAAGAGGAATGGATTGAAGGTGCCTTACTTGCTAAGGGAAAGAATAAAGCTCAAACGAGCTATGTTGTAAAGAAAACAACTAATGAAAAGAAGGAAGCTGACAACCAGAAATGTGCTGGTAAATGGGGTAAATATCCACCATGTCCAGATTGCAAGAGAAAGGGACATTTACCAAAGTGGTGTTAGTTCAGGCCAGGAGTGCAATGTAGGGCCTACAAACAACTTTGCCATGTAGAGAATGTTTGTAAAAACCAAAAGGAAAAGCAGGAACCACAGCAAGCCTAAGTTTTAGAGAATCACCAGCATGAAGAACATCTATTCACAGCTTTGAACCTGAAGGTCTGTTGACGCTTGGTTATTGGATAGTGGTTGCACCCATTATATGACCTCCAATCCTAACATCTTGTTGAGTTGAATGACGTATATAGATCAAGAGTTAAAGTGTGGAATGGAGAGTTTGTTGAGGTCAAGGGTGTTGATGAAATCTCTGTGCAAACTTCTACATGTACCAAGTATAAATCTGATGTTTTATATGTTCCGAACATTGAGCAAAATTTAATAAGTGTTGGTTACTTGATTGAGAAAGAATATACATTGGTATNATTGATCAAAATTTAATAAGTGTTGGTCAATTGATTGAGAAAGAATATACATTGGTATTTAGATATAAAGGATGCACTACACTTGATCCTAAAAGTCAAGAAGTAATGACTATTGGCATGAGAAATAGGCACTTGCTAGAACTGTTATTGACTCTGTCTTATGGCATAAAAAGGTTTGGTCATGCTTACTACTCTTCACTTAAACAAATGCATGATCTGGGATGAGCTGAAAATGTTCCTGAAATCAGTCTTGATAACTATATGTGTGATGTATGCCAACTTGGTAAACAAACCAGATTATCTTTTCCAAAGAATCAAGCAAAAGGGGCAACAAAAAGGCTTGAACTGATATACTCAGATGTCTGTGGACCAATGAGGACAACAACATTAAATGGAAGTAAATATTTTGTTCTCTTCATTGATG